GAAACTTTGATGTTAAATGCAAACACGGAAATCCGAGCCCGATAAGTTACCGGGACTTTCTAGACCATAGGAGTTAAATCAAGCAGGTTGTCAAAAAAGGGAAGGTGACTGAATGTTGTGTTTGTTTCTTTTTAAAAGGCAAGAGAGGATAACTATTTGTAAAAAGTCATGGATTTGTCTAAATAAGGATGCCAAAATGAAAAGCGGGGTCCTCTGCACATGAATGGTGAAGCTACGCAATTGGTGGGAAGTGATGATCCGAGTAACGAAAATAGTTGAAAGAAAGATAACAACTGAACAGACATCAGTTTATCTCTCTGTCGCCCTCATGGTTGCACCCAACCTCGTTCCCAGGTTCTCTGTCCTACCGGTCCGTGGGAGAGAACCCTTATGCCAGTATGGCTCTTGGAGAGGATAGTATCCTCTCTTGTTTTACCCCAGGTTAAGGAGGCATTATGGTTGTTTTGGGGGGAAATGATGTTGATTTGAGGGAGAAATAAATTAGGGTAGATAGGCTCCTGGGGTAGAGTAAACCAGTTAATCTGCTAATGAGCTCAGAGCCACCTTGTCAGTCTACTGATTACTCTCTTCATGGATTCCAATTTTCCAAAATTTTTAACACTCCGCCCCCTAGCCTCCCACGCAGACGTTCTTAAGGGTTCAACGCGTCGCGGGGTAGGAACGCGTGACGAGCCCCTAAAAACGTCTGTGTAGGAGGCTACGCCCCCCTATAAACTTTAATACATTACAAACAAGAAATCGATATATTATCCAAAAAGTATAGAAAAAATCAATGAACCGAAACTAATCAAAATCAAATCAAGGCTTTTTTCAAGGAGTAAATAGGGCGTGTACTAAACATACAGGAGGCATTAATCGTGACGACGTAAGTCGCGCAAATTTTATTAAAACCACAATTTACATACAGGAGAACGTTGTAGATTATCTTGATATCAACAGTAAGTGTTCGAAGGAAAACAGGCAATGTTTTTATATGGGCGTAAACTAAAAATTGTCTTTTCTTGTCAATATTAGCACTCTTCTCACTGAGAACATTGACAACAACAGAACAACAACGAAGGTGGAACCACTGTCAGTTGTCTGAGTTCACTTGCTACTTGTATATTTGGTAACGGCTTTCGTTCCCTCGCTGACCGCGTGTTTTGCAAGCTCACCTGGCAGAAGCAGTCGAACAGCTGTTTGTATTTCCCGCGAAGAAATCGTCGACTTTTTGTTGTAGTGCGCCAGACGAGATGCTTCTTGTGCTATTCTCTCGAAAATGTCATTCACAAAAGAGTTCATAATACTCATTGCTTTGGACGAAATCCCCGTGTCTGGATGAACTTGTTTAAGAACTTTATAAATGTATGTGCCATAGCTTTCTTTTCGTTTCTTCGAGTGCTTCTTCTTCTCCCCAGGTAACGCTGTGCTCTTCTCAGCATTCTTTTCACCCTTTTTACCACGAGCTTTTGGAGGCATCGTATGCTAAACGAACCTCTGTACGTCAAAACCGAAATTTAATTGCAATTCTTTACTAGTGTTACAAGATTTCTACGCTTGCTGAAGAATTCATCGTTCACAGACAAGTTTTGGCCAGTGGTATTTATATCCTGCTGGCCAAAGATCGAAATACACAAGGATCGAAATTGTAGCGATGTGATTGGTTTACATTCCGTACAGTCCTCTTAGGAAACAGAAAAATATGCTGTATAAAGTTTTATTTCCTGTTGCTTTGGCGATTCTGATTGGATGAAAGTCGTAGCATTCGATCCTTACTGTGTAAATATTGCTAAAATATTCATTTCGGTAAGGCAAATCACTTCCGCTACGTGCAGTTGTTGAGTCGTTCGTCAGAGTCTTTCTGTTTTGTATTAAAGAAAAATAAGGGCCATCTGTAATTAAAACATGTCTGGACGCGGTAAAGGCAAAGCGAAGGGCACCAAATCGAAGTCGCGATCTTCAAGAGCGGGCTTGCAGTTCCCAGTCGGCAGAATTCATCGTTTGCTTCGTAAAGGAAATTACGCCGAGCGAGTCGGTGCTGGCGCTCCAGTGTACATGGCGGCGGTGTTAGAATACCTCTCGGCAGAAATTCTGGAATTGGCCGGCAACGCTGCCAGGGATAACAAGAAATCGAGAATCATTCCTCGTCATCTTCAACTGGCCGTACGAAACGACGAGGAGTTGAACAAATTGTTGGCTGGCGTGACCATCGCGCAGGGTGGCGTATTACCGAACATTCAAGCCGTTCTGTTGCCCAAAAAGTCTGACAAAGGACAGAAATGAAAGGACAAAGACCGCGTCTTTTTAAGACGTGACAATTTTGGCCGAGAGAGAGAAAATTCAGACACTAAACTTCTACAAAAGACTGCATAATAAGCTAAATGATGTTTGTCCTGTTTTTCAAATGAAGCAGAAAAGTTGAGTAATTCGGTGAGTAGGTTAATTTACAAGGATACCTGTAAACGGCTATTGTATTTTGCTTTGACATAAGTCTTGTCTAAGCTCATTTGACTTTGCCGTTCATTATCATGTATTAAATGTGATGTCGACATGTAAATAATTTTTTAAAACTGATTATATTGCTGAAAATTTTTGAAGCTTATTATGTAAGCTTAATTTTAATATTGAAGTTCAGGAAATACAAACTTATGTTGTAATCGTATTTTCCCTTTTTTTCGATTTTCATTAAAGAATGTATTTCATTTTCATTGTTTTTACCTTGAGAGAGAGAACTTATGCATTTTGAAACATAGGCAGGTGTACCCACAGGTTTTTCCACAGGCAGCCCAAGCACAGTATGAGAGTAAAATTTTTGGTGTGGTCTCATATGGCATAATCCCCAAAATGGCCGTAAACATAAAGGACTTGTAGGGGAATTCAAGTAAAAACGTGATTTTGTGTCCAGGGTTGATTGATGTGCCCCAACCCCCCACTGTGGGTTTGAGCGATTCATGTCAACCGAAAGTAAAGCCATCTCCCTGTTTATGTGCCTTGAAGCTAACAAATTTGTATTTCTAAGTTTCTTTTCTCTCATAAAGATGATTTACCCGACTTCTGGTTGACATCCATCACTCAAAAACTCTGTTGCTTTTAAGCTCCCTTTTAATCAACCTACACAAAGGGGAGCAAGGGTGGTGCAGTGGTGAGAGCACTCGTCTCCCATCAATGTCGCCTGGATTCAAATCCCTATGTGGGTTGAGTTTGTTGTTGGTTCTCTCCTATTGTTCCCAGGGGTTTTTCTCGGGGTGTGTCAGTTCTAAATTCCAATTTGATCTGGAATGTACAGACACTTTTAAACAAGTCTTTAAAGGGGCTGTGTCACGGCAGTCCAGTTCATTTTAACCTTCCTTTAAAGTTTTAAGCAGTTATTTTTATGTTTCTCTTAATTTAAAAGGAATTTTGTGATTTCTTAATTTGGCTGAATTTCATGACACAGCTCCTTTAATAAAGAAGGCACAATAGGTAGGGCCTGAATGGAACATACTTGTCAACAGGTTTACCTCCTGTGGTACTACTGTCACAGGAAGCGACACACCCAGCACTTCCTGGACGGCCAATAAGCGATGGCCTCATGATAGTATCTGTCTTCTTACAGATTGTTTAAAAAGAGCATCGTTTGTGTTAACATAGCTGGCTGGATCTTGGAGAAAAAGGCACAAAACTGTTTTTAAGCCCCAGTTACATTCCTAGACAAGAAAAAGTTATCAAAAACAAGGATTAACACGGGCTTTTCATACCAGTTGTAATCCTGGGGCTAAATTTTAATCCTGGTCCCTGTTTCTTTAGTTCAAAAGCATTTTCTTTGTTACTGCACGTTGATCTTAGAAAACATTATCTTTGGCCTGAATCCAATTGAACCATTGCCAGATTTTAGAATGGTTAAAAAAAATGGCTTTCCCTCATAGCCTGCGAATACAGCCATTTCTCCTCGCACCTTGCACTAGTGGTGTTTCGGGGAGAGAGACATCTGCGATTCAGCACCAGAAATTCAATACTAATGACCTAATTCGCCCAGAATCTGGTCGATGAGTGCTGATTGGTTGATGTGGTAATTATATATCATTTATTGTTTTTGAATGGCAGACAAAAAACAAAGGTCACAAAGATCAAAATGTCAAAGTCAATGTAAAGTCTACTAAAATTCAGTCATTATTCTTGGAATATATTATATTCTTATTTTGAAAAGGCAATTGAGGTTTGCTGCTGCAAACTAATAAACTGATAAAACTCTAAACTAATAGACCATAAAAAACATTAACCCACACAATCTACACCTGAAACCGCATGACTACCATGAAACATCAATTTAAGCCATCAGTATGAATATTTTGGGCCAAATCGCAGAAATCTCCCCCGAGAAACGTCCCTAGTGATGAGGAGCAATGAAAGACAAGCTATTTCTCTTGTAGGTCCTCGTAGTACTAGGATGTTCCAATCCCGAGGGGGGGGGGGGTGGTACTATAGGACGTTTTGGGTGGGGATGCACCTCTGGGACCCTGGCACCCTTAGCCTATACCAGAGCTAGTTCAAGTGAATTTTGCTACCCTATCCTAGACTAAACTCCCCAAATCCCCCCTATCCTAGCTGTTTTCCAGAAACAACTGAGGTCACTAGCACAGTCCAGCCAAAACAAAAGTGATTTGAGTTTTTTATATTCTTGAGTGGCAATTCCCGTTTCCCTAGCCTAGACTAAAATCTTCAGTCAAAATTGATCAGTTTAAATGGAAAATGATACCCTCTTCTAGACCCAAACTCTCTGATTAATGTACCTTATCCCAGAGTAAACTGCTTGAAAACCATACCCTTCACAGCTGCACATACGTACATAGCCCATACATGTCAGACCCCCCCCCCCCGGGGGGGGGGGTTCCGATACTGCTTTGAGATCATGATTTAATGCAAGTTGTAAAACTTATGTCACGCTGATGCAATTTTAGTTACTTTTCTTTGACTTGTTTTGTACTTCATCAAGATTACTGTCTTTATTTTTTATCTCTTTTATCTCTTCTACAAGGGACTAAGGAATAGGTTAATCCAGATGAAAAATGTTTTTTTTTATGAACTTCACAAAAGCCTGAAAATAAAACTCCCTGATTTTTACGTGACTTTGCTAAGGAGTATGATTTTTCTCTAATAATTGTGGCAATGCTGTTTAGGCAATTCCAGTGCCTTCAAACTAAGACGTTTCGTGTATTTTAATGACAATAACAACTTCACATCCCAACTTCCTTTTATTTACTGAAAACTCTGCAATAAATTTTGTGCCACTCCTAACACCATTGATTAATTAGTACAAATGAAATAAGCCTTGATGAGTTATTTGCAAAAAATACCGATGAGTATCAAAATCAAAAAGTACTTTAAAATTCCACAAAATGTCTATGAATGGATTATGTGAGGATATTAAACTAGTTTCATACTTGTTTTGATCCTGAACTCAATTTAGTGATGGGGTGACTGACCATCAAACCTTTTACCCATGTCAAAACATAATATTCATCTGTACACACAATGAACTCCAAATAATATTATTATTCATCATGGAATACACTTTCCTCAGCAATCCAATATGTAACCACTATGATCTCATAATTAACTTAGAGTTTTAACTATTAATAAAAACAGCTCCTGGGAAGCATTCAGTAGCCTTGGACAGGCTTAATCTTTGCCCAATTCACAACAAAGCAACCTGGGGCATTAAATTAAATCAGAAACATAATAATATTATGCATAGGAATTTGGTTGCGATGTCAAAATATCTTAGAAAAAAATTAATGTACAATAATAATTACTATTAGGTTTGATAGTCAACACAAAATAACTCAAGACCTGAGAGATGATGATATTAATTTGTATAATATGTATTTCTAGTTATTTTCGCTTTGTAATGGCACTTCCTCACTTGTTAAATCCGAAGGATCCTAAAAATGAAAGGAGACAAAAACAAATCACTTTTAGCAAACAGCCCACATACTTCCTCCAATAATCTTAAAGTATTGTCGTTTTTAGATTTCACATGTATATAGCATCCCTGAAGATTTAGAAGGAATAATTAGAAGAAGCCTTATAGCCTATCCACTCAATTACTTAAAATTTAGAAATACATGATGTAATGGTTAACTTTTTACTCATAGACTTCTTTACATATTTTACAACTAACATTATCCTACTGTTTAATTAATATCCATTGTGATTAGTGATGACACTAACATTATCTCTGTTATTATTTTATGTAACCATTATTATGCCCGCCCACTGTTATAATCAATTCCCTTTTTTGACAAATAATTCAATTGTTGTTCTTGTAAAACCTAAACATGCTATATGAGATTGAATAAATAAAACAAAATAAAATAAAATAAAGAGATACACTTGAACCTCTCAGTATGGACACCTCTCTAATACGGACACCTCTCTACTACCAACGGTTTTCAATATCCCAACAAACTTTTCATAAATTTTCTTTAAAAAGACCCTCTATAATACAGACTCTCTCTAAATCTTGCCCCCAGAGAGTAAATTCATATAGACTTCAACTCTTTATTATCGACACGGCAGTGGTCAGGTAAAACCGAATCCCAATCAGGTGAACCTGCGCAGGGTGAATCCTGTCTAGTCTGGCTGATGAGCTATGCAAGGTGATATAAAGCCCAGTCGCTGTATACCAAACAATGATTCAGCGTGAAAGGCACAGAGGAACATAACCGACTTTTTGAAGGCTTTAATAACTACAGATAGCATAAAGATCTTTTCTATTACATGTTGTACTCTAGTTACTGTTTACTTACAAAACAGCAAAAGACACTTTAAGAATAATTATTGTGCTTTACGTTACAACTTTTTACATGCAGCATTGCACTGTAGCTCAATTCCTTTTAAAACAGTATCAGTCTGTTATTATTTATCGGTAGCTCAGATGTACAATGTCGTATGCTACTGAAAGACAGTGTCTTTGTACTGTGAATTAATAACTTTAAATGCAGTTTAAAGACGAGTGTGAGCCTGGTGTTAGCTACTTAACACTTAAAAGTGTAAGTGGAGTCATAAAAGTGACATCATTGGACATTTCGCTCTGTCCCTTCAGTGTCCATATTAGAGAGGTTCGATTGTAAATAATGAACTTGAATAAAAGGGCTTTTTGGTGGTGTCACAGAATAAATCTGGCTAGATGTAGTCTCCAATCTGATTGTCCAATAGTAGCTAGCCCTGATTTCAGTATTAATAAAATAGCAAATGCCATCGATCATAAAATTTCCTTTTTTTTGTTGTTAAGGATTATTATAGTTTGTATGGCAACGTATTATGGAAATAAACGACAAAAAAGAAAACCATCCCTGTTTTGCTTGCTTCTTGTCTTAACCAAGATGGCAGACAGGATCTTGGCAAACGCATTCATACAGTCTTGTACATGCACAGGAGATCTAGTCTAGTCTCACAAATAATGTAAAATTGTATCATACTGGACATTGTATCGCAATCTGCATCGCTTTGTGGAAAGATGTACCATCACAGCAGTAGTCCTATTACCGTTATTAGTATAGGTAATATCATGATTTGTAGTGATATTTGGAATAAATACCACGAGTGATATTTCAAAATTGTTATACGTAATTTCACGAGCCGTTAGGCGAGTGAAATTTGAGACAATTTTGAAATATCATAAGTGGTATTTATGCCAAATATCACGTACAAATCATGCTATTATTTGTTTATACTACTACCCGCAAAAGGTTTGTAATTTTCACATGTAGGTATTTCAAATTAAGCTGAAATACCACTGCTCTGAGCCAATCAAATTGCAGAAATTTCTCATGTAGTAGTATAAACAGATAAATATTTTCATAATACCTCGGATGGCTGTGAAGTTTCCTCACTATATTCTTCAGTCGGTGCAGATTCCCTTTCATTTTCCTCTTCCACAAGATCGTTTCTAGAGTTTGTTGCAGCATCCTCACATTCATCATCCAATCTTCTTTCATTCTCTTCAAACTCATGGACAGCATTTACATCGTCGCTGGCCTCCACAGAACTCTCATCCAAAGACATATGATCACTGCCTTCCAGCAGTTCTATCCTATCCCCAATCTCAGTCCTATTCTCTAAGTTATCACTATATTTTTCATCTAAATGCTCCTCGCTGTATCCATCCTGAGGTGTTTGATTTTCAAGTTCTATTTCCTCCTGGGGAGTAGAGCTTGTATCCTGTAAGTTATACTCTGCCTCTGCAGCAGCATGAACAGATGTGTCCTCATACACTACATCTAAAGCATCTTCGTCAACACCAGCAAAGAACCTAACATCCCTATCTGGATCACGTTGAAGCCTCTGTAAGGCTGAATGGACTGCATCTCTCCCCTCACTATCTGTTTCTTTAAAGTAATCTACAAAAATGAGAAATTAGTTACACGGTGCAGTCAATAAAGGCCATACCCTAAGAAAACAGCTGACATTTGGCGACGCTACCACTGGTTTCCCCGCCAAATGATGTTTGAGAAACGAGCGCAGAAATTCCATACTGATGACGTGTCACGACCCAGATCTAGGTAGTGCTTCTGATTGGTTGAATCAAATTTCCCACGCAGCACGACCAGTCAGAACCACTACCCAGATCTGGGTAGTGACGCATCATCAGTATGGAATTTCTGCACTCATTTCTCAGACGTCATTTGGTGAGGAAACCAGTGGTAGCATCGCCAAATGTTGGCTGTTTTCTCTGGCTATAAGGGCCAAGGGCCAGGGATTTCCCGCAGCTACCTTCACAGGAAACAAAAAGAAATAGAACCAGATCAGCTCTGTGTTGCTCAATTTCCTGCCCAGTTATTGCATATGTCTGCATCTTGAAATCTTTTCTTGACAGCCCTGGTTAGTTAACCCCTTCACTCCTTATAGTAGGCAAACAAATTACTAATTCCCACCAAAGTCAAATTCCTTATCGTAAAATCTTGGGAAATAAATAGTACCATATTTAAGTTCTACAAAAGAGGTTTCATTTGAATGGCGACACTAAAGAATTCTGGCCACAGATTTAAAAGTTGATGTGAGAAATAATCTTGCCATGACTTGGTCTTGGAGTGAAAAGAGTTAGTGTATTAGAATTAAGTTTGTGTTATCAGGTGCCATCCCACAAAAATTTTGACATCTAAGTTAGTCATTGAGACCCCCTAAAGCATTAGAGTGTTTGCATTGACTTATTTCATAAAGCTAATGAGGTAATGTGAAATTCTAAAAAAAGCCTGGGACTTGGATATAGAGTCTCCGGGGGAATAATTTTTTTTGTCCTCGCGTATTTAATTATTTTCTTTTAGCTTTGACTACACCAAGATCTGTTTGTCCATTGACAAACAGTAAGATGTTGTTGTCTTTGTTCAGTCCATTTTATCTCCATCTGCATGGGCTTACAGGGTTCCTTTCTAAGCCTTTTTCCCGTCAATCCATTGAAGGAAAGCACCCTAAAATACGACTAGTACTCTTCTTAGTCACGTAACTCCCTCCTCCTGTTCTCATTCGCAGGACGACAGTATAGCTAATAACCTATCATCATCATGATAGACAGTACCTGTCATCAGGACACACTGGGACAGGGTCCGGGCCAGACTGAGGCGCACATTTGGAACAGGGTCAGACAGGAGGAAAAGCAGACTTGGTAAAAACTCCTGGCAAAACTGCTCTCCTGTTTCCACATTCTCTTCTAAAAGGTTCTGACAGAGCTGTGCATACCTAAAACGTGTTATGCATTAATTTATTCATGAGAGAAAAATAATGGTTTATCAAAATGTGTGTCAAATTATTTACTTTTGTCTGTTACACGACAAAATTATATTCAGGTTAAACATTTTTAACCTAAAGTCACAGACAAAAATAGTTGGGACACTTCTACCTTATGCTTATTTTTTTTGCTTCTGGCCGGTTTCCCTATCCTCCCAATGTTGTTTATAGCAGTTAACTCACCAAATCTTGCACACCAACATTGGGAGGGCAAGAAGACAGCAACGTGTCCCAACAATTTCAACTGAGACTGTACATTGATTCCCTTTTTCCTTTGTCTCTTAGTCCTAATTATTCATGAATTAGGGTTAGGAGACAAAGGAAACGGATAATCAGCCTAGGTTAAAAATATTTTAACGTGAATATAATTTTGACCTGTAACATCTGCACAGAATGTTATCAAGGAATTCAAACTTCAGTAAGTCAAGAACATAATATTACCTGAAACAATGTCGTAAAATGCCTTATGTAAGTTTAAGTCATATACTCACGCTTGTCGCCTGGTCCATTGTGGACTATGGGCAAATTTATTGATTATATCACAGACATATTTGTGTACAGGTCCCTCCTCAGGACACTCATGGAGTCGTTGTAATAACACACCAATCTACAACATGGTAAACGAAAACCCATGATCAACAAAAATGGAAAAAAATAATATTCATCTGATTGTTTAAATTTTTGTCTCAACGCCATTAGCTTTCCCTCAAAGAATAACAAAAAAATATATACATAATACTTTTTCCCTCGTTGTGCAATTGAACCTGAAGAAATTAATAATGTAACAACAACTGTCCTGGTGTTGCACACGTTGCCCGATGACCGACTGTTAATTGTAGCTCTGATAAAAGAGTGATTATTCGTACTCACCAGCTTAAATGCAATTATTCTCACATCAGCGACTCTATCTGTCGCAAGTGAAAGAGCAATAGGGCAGATGTAATGCAGCACTTGTTTTGGTGTATACAACTCGGACAGCAACATAAGCTGCCTGAAACCAAAGATAGAAATAGGTTAACATAAAGACACTTTTAATGTCCACAGAAAAGCTTTATTGCTACATGTACTTACCGTTAAAACCTGACCTTTAAGGAAGTGCAATGGGGTGGCTAGGGCAGAGGACTTTAAAAAAATAGAAGTCCTGCTCCCGGTTGTTCAAACGCTGGATAGCGCAATCCACCAGATAAATTGCTATCCAGCGGATGAATATTAGGGAAACCAATTGAGTTATCCTTTGGATAGAGATTTATTCGGTGGATAGCATTATTCATCTTTCGAACAACTGGGGCCTGTACTTTAGCAACTGAGGAGGCCACATGGTCAAGTGGTTAGAGTGCTGGACAAGTTCAATTCCTGCTCTGAAAGCTAGCTGGATTTGTTCACAGTAATCCCTAGTTCAAATCCTCGGCCGGGGTTGTAAACAGCCAGCTCATCTGCCCCCAGCCAGTTGCGATTATGTTTGAATTAGATTATTTGTTTCATGCATTTGCTCTACCCCAATGGCATTAGTGCTATAAAAACTGGCGAAAGCAAATAACGGAATTATTATTACTGGTGGCATAAACTCAGAATGAGATCTGCACTAAACACTTACTCTGCCAGCTCAAATCGAAATCTCCAGTTCCTGTTATTGTCTGTTGTAAGGAAATCCGTTAACATGGGGAGGTAATCAGTCCTTATATCTGGTGGAAGAAGCTGCAAATGTATTTGAGAGAATAACAATTTGAGACAAGGAAACTAAGAAGAAATCCTTTTTGCAATTCCAGTTTGAAGTCTGTCGTTGTGCATAATGTTATGGCATGCAGTGTTTGCATTAGGTTTTGTACAAAAAGCATCCTGTACCCTCAGATCCCAAAATCTCAGGGGTCCTGCTCATATTAAACTCTAATGGCATGACCACTTCTAACTAAAGAAAATACTTCAGCAGTAACCACACTAAATGTAAATCTCACCTTAATGAAGTCTGCCAGATGTTTCAAAACTCCTATTCGCACCTAGAAGAAGGGATTTGATTGTTAGGGTTGTTACTCTTAAAACTTTATATTCCTTACGTTGCTTTCGAATAATAGTTACTTCATAAAGATTAAAACTTCCTTGTGTAAACCACGGATGTAGCAAATGAAAAACTGGCCTATTTATTGGTCAATCCGGCTTTAAACTCAACTGCACCTTCAAAATTTCCCAACATCTTTGCTTCCCAGTGAAATCTGAGCCAGTGGAGGAGAGCTGTTTTTTAGCCAGTAACATGAGGGGAGTTTGTAGAAAATCACCTTTTCAAACTAGTCAAGCTGTATTCTGGTCACTTTCTGGCAGTAATGAGCAACAAAAGCCCAACCCCAAACCCTATTTATAAGTCACGCACTTTGAGGCCTTCTGTTCCAGACACAAAACACCAGCTTCCAAAGTTTGGGCATGCACAGAAAGCAAAATTTCGAGACAGTTTTTTTGGGTTTAAAAGTGACACAACTGTCTTGACTTTTTCTTTTTCTTTTCTCTTCTTCCCTCAGCTTTTGCTTCTCTTGCCCCATTTTTTTCCTTGGCTAGGCACTTCCTAGGCTTCATTACAGTAGGAAAATTTGGGGAAAAGCTTATAGGATCTAAGGATTAGATGGAACTCAGGAAGTGTAAGTGGGTATAGGAACAACATTTTCATGGGATTTTCTGAGTCAACATGTTTTTTTTTTCTCTGGCCTCCTTGACTGAATCATGCTAATTATGGTATGGTTTGAAAGATTTTTTCCCCCTCCACAAGTTAGATGACAGAGTTATCTCTGACCATTGAAACTGATGACCTCAAAAGTGGTAGAGGGGAAGTGGATCCAGGCACAGGTGGTGCAAGGGTGAATGGGCCAATACACTGCTCAACAAACAGCTGGAACATCAAAAATAAAGAAATGTTGAACAAGACTGATCTGAGATGCATATTTTCTTACCTCATCTAGGTCTTTGAGGAAGCTATTAAATGTTGGTACCAATTCAATTCTTGTAATCTCACTTCCAAGAACTAATGCTAGCTCATGGATAGAGAAGGCTAATGTTCTTCTAACCTTCCACTACAAAACAAAAATAAAATCAATCAAAATGTAGAAACCAAGCCAAGCCAAGAATGTAGCTTGGATAAATCAATGAAGCCATTTAAATAAAATTACAGTCTCTTCACATTGTTATTAATTATTCCATACCTGCATATCAGAAGTTAAAAGTTCATAAGTGTCTCTCAAACAAGGCCAGTTTTTGCGGCCTAATGTGAGTGCTACAGCTGGAAGACTGAAGGCACAGTGACGCACTATTTCAGTATCAATAGTTTGTGCTTTTGCAGGTTCTGTCATGGATACATAGTGATCCAGAAGGGTTTGAGGAATAACATGCTGAAAAAAGTAGTAAAGAATATAAGAAATTCATACATTGAAGTGCCGAATTGAGATAAACAGAAGAACGATTGTCGCAGTTATGTACACAACATAAGTAGTTGTCATTTTGACAACCTGAAAAAAATTTAAAGCAGTGCATCGTTATGGCAGGGTCATCTGTTCTAATCCAGCTCAATCCAGAATTTTTTTCACCTTATAACATTGACAACTACTTGTAGGTGTTACAGGTCAAAATTAAATTCAGGTTAAAATTTTTCAACCAACAATCAAGGACACTTGACTTGGGTCACACTACTCTGGTACCTGTCTTTCTCTCTTCCAATGTTGTTTTGTAATGGTCATTGGGTGGAATTGTCCAAGTTCGAGGCCAACATTGAGGGGAAAGAGAAAAGGAGGTCAAGTATAACGTATCAATGTTTTTCCTTCAATTGACCCAAGTTCTAATGTCATGGATGGTAGGTTAATTCTCTATTTCCTTTGTCTTCTAGCCCAGATTATTTATGAATTAGGGCCACAAGGCAAAGGAAATTGAGATTCAACCAAGGTTAACCTGAATTTAATTTTGACTTGTAACATGTACATGACTGCTCTAACCAACTAGGAGTTAGTCAAGTCGTGGATTTGAAACATACCCATGAAGGTTAACTGCATGAAAGAGTGTATGAAATTCTCACTACAAAATAAGGATCTAGCAAGAGAAAGATCCTCTTTTTCAGGTTTTAAAAATCAGAACTAGCAGAGGCAATTTCACTGTGTACAATAAACCCTCTATTAAGATAAGCCTCCTCCCCCTTTTCAGGGGAAGAAAGTTATCAAGCCCCTCTCCCCTACCCACTTATTTTTCGCAACCAAATAATTAATAGATTGTATAGACTGTATTATTATTTTAATCATGACTGTAACACTTTATGGGGACTGATCCAGTATGGTTTATTCACATGCTGGAGGTTTGGATTATTTGTTTTTGATCCTCAGCTGCATGGCCTGTGAGCTTTTCTACAGAACAGCTCAGAGATAAGCATCCACATTAACACACTTTAGATGCATTAGGGGCAAATCTTTTAACGCAATGGTCAATCTAATGCACTGCAGAACTGATTAGTATGTACCAGCTAGCAAAATGTTGCTGGTGAAATGCTAGCATAACAGCTTCAGCAGCTTGTAGTTCTTCTGATTGTCTGAAAAAGCAGTAAAGCAGTATAGTGCTCTGTTTTGCTAAATTAAATACCCCCCTTTTCTATTAAGCCCCCCACCTGATTGAAATAAATGAGGGGGGGGGGGGAATTGTGGTTTTACAGTAATACATACATGTAAGAGAATTCATAAAATGCAGTGTGGACAATTATGCATGCTACTATTAAGAAAACTTATTTACCTGGACAGGAGGGGCTGTAATGTGGTCGGCAATGAGAAGATCCTCTTCAAATGAAGAAGTGTGTCCCAAACTTAGCTTTCTGTAGTCATCGTAATCAAAACGACCAATACCGTGATCTACATGGTGCCCACGAAAATCATCAGTCAAAGAATAAAGAGCAATATTATCCTCCTCATCACTGTCATCATCTCCGTGCATAAACGACAACTTTGGACGATAATGGTGAGGCTGCAGTGTACGATGATAAATAATACTGCTATGGTGATGAGCCACTGAAGGTCCGCTTGTTTCACTTCCACCTATTTCACTTGGACCAGCTGGTAAATTATCCAGTTTTTTAACTTCCTTGTTAACATTTGTGATACCTACAAAACCTTCAGGTTCTAAGTCAACCTGCGGCAAAGGTGTCCTCCAATAGAGAAAAGAATCAAAGTATTTATCGTCGACCTCATCAAGATCGGTAGTCATGTTCTGCTTGAAAGTTCTTGACTCTTTTGAGCTTGTTTGAAGAGAAACTGTATGAGTGTCTTTGCTTTCTTGTGACTGTTTTTGAATGTCTGACTCGTTTGACATGATTTCTGGAGGAGAGATATAGCCAGAGTCTGTGGTGCGAGCCTCAGGTGATGGCTGCCTCTCGGTTTGATGTCTGTTTTCTTCACTGGATTCCTCTGAGGATTTCACACTACAAGATTTCACAAAAAATAGTTTAATCCACAAGATTACTTCATGATAATGTAAATTCAGTCGGACTTGTCACTCATTCGTATGATCAAAAGTAAATTCCAAGAAAATTCCATCATCTCTAAGCAATTTCTCTGACATAAAGGTGCTTAGCCAGTCATTCTTATGGCTTCGTCAAGTGTTCCTTCCATTGTATGGAAGGTACGTGCAACAGAGGCCAAAGAACGTCCACACGGGAGGCTAACAGGGGCTGTAGTGTGGTGATTTAATGTTTTTGTCTGACTATTCGCATGACATCACAATCCTCTATCTATCTCTTTTTTATTTATTATGAAAATGTTTTTTTACAATCTTCACAAAGCCCTGTGATGCCCCAAATGTAAAATTCCCTCGCTAAACACTGGATGTACCCAGAACCAACAATATTTTTCCCAGGCTGTTATTTTCCTGATCATGGAAGTCACCATCAGTGAAATAAACATGATATATAAAAATAGCTAACTTCATCAACCATCTCTCACATGGTTACCATGCAGCAGTAAAACTGGAACCCTTTTTCATACTAAAGAGTTAAAAAGACAAAGCGTCTTTCCGATGCTTTTTTTTTATCATTAGATCCCAGCACCTCCATAAAAATATGGATTTATCAACATGGTCACTTACATGTAAAATAACCCTTTTGGAGCTGAAAGTTTTTCATTTCGTTTTTATCGGTTCATTCAGATTTACAATTTTAATTTCTCACTGCCCACAAATATCAAAGGCTTAACTAGGTGGGCAGTGTCTATATAACACAAAATATGTACTCCAAATGGTATTAAATTAACAAGTCAACAAAAGTTATTTAAGCTTACATAAGTTGTACAAAAGGTAAAGAACAGAAGAAAGGTTACGTTTAAAACTTTAAGTTTTCGTTGTTTTCCTTCTTTAAAGTCTGTATGTTGTCTTTACCCATATTTTGTTCGAACTTTAAGTACTCCTGCAGAACTGCATGACCAGCACAGTCCAGCCTTCACACTCTTCAAGTTTAACCCTTTAAACCGCAAGATCAAAATTTGAATTCTCATTTGTTGCCCCTATTCATTTCCTACAGAAGTAGTGGGGAGAAGTTGATAAAATATCAAGCAAATTCATCTTGTGCGATCATGTCTGTAATTCTCATGACCACTTTGTTTTACAAAGCATTGTCATTACAAGGAAAAATTTGATGCTGATCACTCTTAGGGCTTAAAGGTTTAAAACAACTTCCAGATTTACCCTACTTAAGTACAACTTACTCCTCTGATTTGGAATCTTCAGAGGTATTCTCACTGGCTGTAGCTTCTCCTTCGGTCTGAGTTGGTGAAGATGGTGTTTCCACTTCTCTTTGAGGAACTGCACATAGAACTCCTTCTTCATTAACATAAAAACCACTTTCCCCAGGGTCAGCAAAGGTGGAAATAAAAGGTCCAAGACTTTGATAAGCAGCCATTTGAACCTAAAAGAAACGTTTCATCAATATTGATAATAACAATCATCTACTCCCCATAAGGGGTATGTTTATGAATTCTCAGATCTCAAGAACCTTTAAAATCTTCTCAAAAATGGAAAAGTTAACATTTGGGTCCTTTCTGGGGTAAAATTTCAGAGATCTACAGGATACAGTGTACTTTCCTTAACCCTTTAAGCCCCAATATCCACATACAAATTCTCCAAACTGATCTCTATATATTTCCTTAAAGAATGAGTTGAGAGAATTTGATAAAAGATCAAAGCATTTTCTCTTAGGTGATCATTTTATTAATTCTCATAACCTAGTCTCTTGACAATGTACGGATATCATTGGGAGAAAATTGATGTTGGTCACTATTGGGACTTAAAGGGTTAAGTTTGCCATGATTGTTCTTCAAAAAATTTGTATTCATCTTAAAACCTAACACACACATCAATCAATGTGAACAGCAAACTTCATGGGCATTTGAAGAGCCAATCTACAAATTGGAGGACTCAGCGTTACAGCTGAACTTCACTAAGTCATATAAGCAACCACCCAACTAAACTAACAAAATCAGTTTTGCCAGTAGTTAAAGGACAGTTGGAATCTCTTGTAAGAGATCACTTTCTGTTAGCTGGTCATTTGGTCAGTTAGGGGGTGATTCACTTGCAAAGCCTGTACTAATGATCCTCAACTGAAACAAATTTTGCATAGATTAACATACCCATCTTGACTTATCACATAGCAAGCCGATGAAGAACTGCGATAATTCATTCTTTCTCATCATAGCAGGACTAGCAGTTGACACACTCATGTAACTCTCCGCACAAGCCTGTAATAAGAAAGAAATAATATACACAATCAGTTGACCCAAGGCTCATTTAAATACAGTTGAAGCTCTCGTAAGCGACCACCTTGGAGATTTGAAAAGTGGTTGTAGCTAAGGCTGGTCACTTACAAGAATGGGTTCTCATAATTGAACACATCGTAAAACAATAGAGGCAGGGTTCGAAATTAACGGTTGTCCGGTTGTCCCGGACAACCAAAATTACGATGGGGCAACCAAATTGTGCTAAGTGGTTGCCCCTTGGGCAACCCAATCTGTCGTGGCACTAGTCCTTAATGAAGACTTGATAGATTTGAATAAATATAACAGCTTGTTGTCTTTGGAGAGTAAGCGATACCTAAACTAAGTTAGTGGAAAGAAAAAAAAAACGCGGAAGAAATACTAAAGTATCACGTACACTACCGTTGGAAACCGAAGTTCGTTTTTGCACAACATTCTTATTTGAATGAGCCTGTTCTGCTTTAATCAGCGGTTGGTACCAGTAAACATAGTCCATGATGCACTAGTGAGATCCGGTCCGTGATGCCGCCATGTTTGTTTCGATGATGGCAATTTACCATTCATCTTATTATTATCATCTTAGTTAACATGAGCCTCTTCCGCTACTTCGGCCGTGAGAAAGTGAAGGCCGTTGGCGATAACAACAATTTGGAAGCCACGAAGAAAGATGATAATCAAAGCAATGCTACGGGTGTCGCAAAATCTACAGCAGAATTAGGCGAGGCGCAAGAAAGTTCAAGAAAAAGGTGTCGTACATTTCAAGAGTCGTGGAAGACTAGAAGACCCTGGCTGAAATTTGACGAGAAAGAAAACGCTATGTTTTGCAGTTATTGCAGACAGTTTTCGAAAGATAAATCTGCCTTTGGGAGGAAAAAAACAACGAGACACAGGCTGGTCAAAACATTTTATTAAGATACTCTTGAATACAGTTCAATGTATTTGTATTTCATTTTCTTGTTCAAATTAATAAAAGCCACTGTTTAGCTACCTGTATTAGTTTCTTGGCTTGAACTGCCGAACTAACACCAAACAATTTTCTATTTTGTTCCAAGGCCCTAAAATTTGGAATTCTTTACCAAACTCAGTCACTTCGATTTTTACATTGCAATCGTTTAAAACGAAAGTTTTTGATTTTCTACTATATCGATAATGCGTCTTGTACTGTCCGTTGTTGTGTGTTGTTATAGTTCTATTGCTTAATATTATTGTAACGAGGGGGCCTCCTCGTACAAGCCTTGTGGTTTTCTGAGGTCCCCTCGCCACATCTTTGTATAATGTAATGCTTGTGTAATCTTTATTGTGGGAAAATAATAAATAAATAAATAAATAAATAAATAAGAGCTTGGACAACCAAAATATTCTATGGGCAACCAAACCAAGGCTTGTGGTTGCCCCAGGGGCAACTGGACATAAAAGTAAATTTCGAACCCTGAGAGGGTGGTCATATACGAGAGCTTCAGAAATTCATGAATAATTCATACAGAAAAAACAAAAGAAACTAACGTTCATCGCACACCAATGGTAGTTATGCCAAACTGACCGCCGCAGCTTGACCTTCATTCCAAATTCATAAAAATGTACACGTAACATACCCCTAGAAAGGAGGGACACTAACAAAGTATCCAACTGTATTCATCATAATTTTATAATCACAGCAGGACCACAGTTAAGATTAATTTTTATCAACTCTAAGTTTATCTTCTTACACGAATTTAGTTATTGATCATCCAACCTATAATTTTCTACACAGGACTAAAGTTATAGATACAAATTAAAAACATGAGGGAACTGGAACATTTTTAAACCAAAAAATTAATAAAACTTATTAACTTAATGGGACACCTACCTTTCTTACACCCCAAACACCATCTTGACATAGCTTGAAAAATACGGGCAACTTTTTGCAATAGAAAAGTAAAACAGAAATCAAATAACAATAATATTTAACAAATTATGGAACGAGGTTGAGCAAAATATTGGGATTTGTCAGTGGTGAGCAGATCAATTATTTGCCGAAGCCGAAGGCAAATGATTGATCTGACAAATCACAGTATTCTGCGCTAACCGAGTTCAATAACAATTATTAATAATAAACAGTCACCAAGTTCGTTTTTTGATAAATTTCTTTGGGAAGCTGCCATTTTCAGGCAAGAGCGATCGCAAGAAAGAGAAAAGTGCGCTTTCATTTATGCATGAGCAGAATATTCTTTGCAGCAAACACAGTTGGATGACATATTGTGCATGAGCAGACCATTATTTGTAGGCAGTTATCTGCAGGTCACATGTTGGGCTCTCGGCCAGTGAAAAGGAAGAACAATTTGAATCGTATGATAATAATAACTATTTTAAATGCACATAAGAGTGTCTTGTAAACTTTAGGTAAGCACATGAGTATATAACATAATTTTTAGTAGAAATTATTATAATACTTATAGGTGCTTTTGACCAAACATTTGAAACCTTGCTGCTTCAATAAAAATATAATTTCATATAATTCATATGCATGGAAATTTGAAGAAACCTACCATTCGATCACTTGTTACTTCAGGTCCCAGCACACTACACATCTCACCAAAGTTTGATGCACAGACCTAATTAAAATGGTACATTTATTACAATAAGTTTCGTGGGGGAATGATATTTTTATATTGTGTATAGCAGATTAAATGTAACAAAGCCAGAATCTGAAGTGTTTCTGATTGTTCTAAACACAATTTGTCTAACACAGTTCTGTCCTATTTACAGGTCTGAAGACTAGTTTTGATGCCCTACGGGAAATGAGATGTGACCAATTCCGTAGTTAATATACTCTTTCTTGCGTAAGTTTTGCTTTCTAGTTTTTGTGGCCAGTAATAATATTAAAATGAAACTTCAGCTGATATTACTCCATCAAAGAAATTTTAATAAGCTTGTGCTAGTTTTTCAGAGAAACAATGATTGAAAATATATTAGCTACTGTTTTGAATTCCCTGAGTACAAAAATATTGGGTAAGCAGATGTTTTTCACACCTTTAAGACAGATTGACCAGATGTTAATTTCATTAAAGTGGGCGGAGGGGTGGGCAGCAAGTGTTAACCCTATTTTTGTAGCACAAAGCACCAGGAGTATTGCTACTCTACCCCCTGCACCCCCTGGAGGGATGCTAGTCTACCACAGGGTTACCTCCAACAGTATGTCGCCAGCACCCATTTATAAACCTGGGTGAAGAGTGACAGAGTGGAGCAAATTTCTTGCCTATGGAAACAATGGGACAGTGGCTTGAATTCTGACCTCAAGATCTTAATTTCCCAGTGTTATGAACTTGGCAGCTAAACTTCTGCAAATTTCATTCAAATACAAACATAATCATTATTTGCCCTCACCTTTCTGACATGAAAAAGAGGATCTGAGCAGAGAACCTCAAATCTAGGTAAAAAGTAGCGCTCTGCAATGTCTCGTCCAACAAGTGGAGCCATCTTACTCATCAACTAAAGAAAGAAGAAACATTTCAGGAGTTAAAGGTTCAGAACAAAGACATTTTGGACTACCTTTTTAAGTGATGTCTTGAATTAAAACCCAAGGGACGTTTGATAAACCACTAGATTCTAAGTACAATTTTCGTCTTTTTTATTCTTATGAATCAAAGGGAGAGTTTGATATTAGAACAGGAGTCCATTACAGCCTTATTCAATCCATCATTAGTGATTACAAGCGGATGGGTCTTGCACCTATGTACTTAACTCGTTAACCCTTTAACTCCCGAGAGTGACCAAAGTCAGTTTTCTCCTGTTAATATCAATACATAATCAAGAGAAAATGTTGCAAGAATTATGAAAGTCATCATCTCATGGAAATGCTTTGATCTTCAAACAAATTCTCTCAACTAATTCTTAAAGGAAATGTGTGGAGATCAGTTTGGAGAATTTGTATGTGGATATTGGGGCATAAAGGGGTTAAGGTAAAATGCATGCATTCATGGCCCGATCATTGTCAAAAACTTACAGCAACTGCTTCCGATCTGTAATCATCATTGCTTTCCCCTGCTGTGAGCTGCAGTAAAACAGGGCATACTTGTTCTTCAACATCCTCTGTAAAAAAAAAAACAGATAAAAGTACAATGTGAGTGAAAAAAGTCAAAATTCCAGAAAAACTCTGGGCGAGTCTTGTAGATGAATACTTAGAACTTTTTCTGAGAAAAATTGTCTCTAAAACACGATTTTTGACAACAACAAGTTGTCATTGTCAAGTGTGAAATAAAAAAACCAGTGTTCTCATTCTTTATATATGAAATGTACATCCAAATACAATCTTCAAAGTAAAAAAATAAATAATAAGAAGAAAACAATACCATAGAGTACTGAGAAAAGCTCAGAAATTAATTAACACTTTTGCACAAATTGAGTGATTTGTGTATTAATTTACTTTTCAAGCTTCTTCATGCTTATACAGTCAAATCTTGCCTTGTGAACACCCTGCTATAACAGACAACCTGATAATAAAGACAGCAGCTGAATCCAGGGCTGTCATTTAGAGGCAGGGGCCAGTCATTTCCCTAGGCTACTACGAACATGGCCCCCGGAAACTTTCATAGGAAAATAGAAGAAAAATAGGGCCAAAAAATACTCCTAGCTACATGTTGTACATGTATTTACCCAGTACCTTGAAATCTTAGTGACATTCCTGTAAATCCCAGACAAAATTAAAATACACCATTTGACTGTAATAAACTCCAGCTATTATGGACACTCCAGGACTGTCATTAAGAGCTGGGGGCGAGTGATTTCCCCCTGTTACTATGGAGGTGGCCCCTGGCTACTTTCATAGGAAAATAATAAAAATAGAACCAAATAATATCCTCAGCTGTTTTATTCTTCTGCCTACTTGTTGTATTTACCCGGCAACTTGATATCTTAGTGACATCTCTGTAAATCCCAGGCAAAAATGAAAGACATTTGACTGCATTAAACTGCAGCTGTTACGGACTCTCATCAATGAGGACACTAATGCGAGGTCCCTAAATTTCCCCTATAGAGGGAGTTGACTCCAAAACAGTGTTTCATACAACAGGGGTCAGGGTCAGGTTTCCCTGACACTTACTTAATATGAAAATTGTTGTGTTTGCTCATGGGGACCTTATTGTCAGCATAACAAAGAATGCTTGAATAAAGTCTTAAAAATAGCCCTGCAAACAGCACTTCCAGGGCTATTTGTACATGTTTACAAACTAATGTAAAACTTCTAGGTTACCTCTTTCCACAACTTCTTGTTCTAAAAGAACTAAAAGTGCTGCCTGGCTGGTTTTACGCACCTAAGTAATAAAGACAGACACTTTAGAAGAATCATTCTCTGGCAATCAATTTTCACAGGAATTTAATATACAGATGGGCAATTTTTTCTGTTTTGTGCCAAAAAAATTTTGGGCTACATAATGACAGGCTTTTTTTTTTACTGGCAAATACTAATTACATGAGGGTATTCACAAGTTGCATCAAACATTTTAATGCAATCAAATTACTCTCATAATAATTCTTATTCTGAAGGCTGGTATTGCCAGCAACAGAGCCTGAAGTCATGACGGAGCTTACAGCTAGTTAAAATCCAACAGGAGATTTGTAATCAAGGTCATTAGCTCAACAGCACTAGAGTTGAGAGACTCAGAATGTTCCCATTCATTTTTCGGCTCACAAATCTGCTTCCTACAATCTATTGAACACCAGATCATTAGAGTCACAGGCAGAAGTCTAACGACAAACCAATCACAATGCTTGTTCCTATGCACTGTGATCTGTTTACCTCAAACATAGCCAATTCTCCTCGCCCCTTTCCACTTGGGATGTTTCGCAGGAGACACTTCTGCGATTCAGGCCCAAAAATAGTAAATTCACGGTGTTTATACTTGATCATTGCGACCTTTTGTCTTTCATTTGTAAATGATAGCTAAAAGAACAGAATTACTATGTCAACCAATCTGTGCTCGTTGACCAGATTCAAGAGAAATATACGACATCAGTAAGAAATTTTTGAAGCCAAATACTCTCCCCCAAAAACGTCTCTAGACTTCCGCTTGCAAGAGTTGTGAGAACCAGGCTTAACGGATTGGACAAAAACTACGGCATTGAGACCTTAGTAAACTTTGAGCGATAAAACAGGCGTATAACACTTATAATAATTTAATGCAACAATGAACTCTGGACAACACTCCTAACTACAGTACCTGATTGTTGGAGTCAGTCAAAAATCGTAACACAATGAACAGGATGTACTGCGGTACTGCCTCCATCATAGAATAATGCTCATAACAGTAAACTGCTACATGTGGAACCTGTTCCATAAGCTCAACCCTTACAGATGGCTCTAAAAGCAATCCAAAGAAAACCAAATCATAAATAGTTTTTACCATCAGCATCATCCTATTTACCAGTCCTTCAAATGACATGGCAGTTGTTTGACAGTGGAGTCTGTACTCAAAAGATACAATATCACAATTCAAACTGAAAACGTTTTGGCAGTACAGTCACATAAATTGTTATGAAAATTATTTCTGAGACTATTTTATGTCTTTTCCTGTACAGCACTTTTAACGAGCACTAGTGTTCGCTACTTCACTCAAACTGGTTGGTTACTTTTTTCTGTAAATAGAAATAATTAAAGAAAAATTCATTCAAAGCTTAATGATATCCTCAGTTATGCATCAGTCGAATAGAAACCCTGTCCCCTTTCAAGGGTTTTGAAGAATTATTCGCATGTGCAAAATTGATGTTGGAAAAATGCAATCAAAATTGACTAATTGCACAGTATCTTGTTTACAAATTTTAATGAATGTACTGTAATAAACCATGCAATCAGAATGGTTATATTATGTTAATCAGAAGGAGCAAGAAAGGACTACAGATGAAGATTTTCCCACACTTTTCTATTACTATTGGTTGGTTATTTGAACAAAGTTGAAACCCGAGCGAAAAAATTGGCCCCAGAGATTTGTTCTTAGGTGGCGCATTTTAAGTTGAAAAATGGGTTTTTCAGCCTGGGCTGTAAGCCTTTATGATATGATCAACAGGCCAGCAAACAATGTTTAAATGTCAGGATTGGTAAAATTGAAAAACGTTCTAGAATGCTGTTTTGACAAACACTGTTTGAACTCTGTTTTAGTAACTAGCCCTACGTGTTTTTTACCTTGGATGATTTTATATACAAAAATTCAACCATTTGTATAACTAAAGCTGACAATTTTCTTCAATTATCTTTTCCTGGTTTCTTGCCCTACTCAAAGGTTTCTAACAAACTTGCATTTTCATTATTAAAACTACAGCGTGCAAAGAAAGTAGTGTTCCATAGCCCGGGGCTAGTGGATTTTGCTATCGGGCTGGTGAAATCTGTTTTTAACTTGCCCGACAGGCTAGTGATGTTTTTTGAGGAATCTGAATAACAGAAGAACTTTGAAATCAATTCTGCTAGTCAAAAAGGTTTTGGGGCTAGTTGAAATGACATCTGGGCTAGTAAATGCTAGCTTCAGCTTGCCCAAACGGCAAGCTGTAAAAATGATTCTCTTTGCACCCTGAATTACCTTCAAAATGGAATCTAAATCACCTCAAAATTTGCAGACTGAATGTACACTTAAATGATCAAGAAATTTTCATTACTTACTAACAATCTATCTGCAACACAAAACTTTTAAAACGAATAAAGCTAACAACTTACAATACTAAATATATGCTAGACACTATGCAACATGAAAAAATAAACAAAAAATGAATACTGAATTAAAGAACAACTCAGGGTCAATTTTCACAAACTAAAAAGAGAAGTTGTAGGAACTAATAAAATTTAATTTCCTGGAAACTCCATTTTAACTACTACACTGTACAGAAAATGACTCTCCTAATTTTACCTAAAACCAATACAAAGACAATAAAATGAAAAAAAGATAGAAGTCAGGGAGTCTGCCTAAAATAATATTTACTGATCAAATTAATTCAAAAACACTTTTTTACTTTAAGCTTAATCAATTTTGTTCATTAGTATTGTCCAATTAGACATTAAAGCATCAAACATGCACAACGTTAGTTTGCAAATTTTCAGCCATTAGTTTCACATTTTATGACAACCTGCAGTTTTTTACTTTAAATCAACAGTACACTTAAAAAATAGTACAGTGAATTTTCTCAGCAAGAGATGTAAACATTGCTGAAAATAGAAAATTCAAAGTCTGTTAATAAAAGCTAAAAATGTTTCAAACGACGGCAATCTATAGCTTATCTTAACTACCTCAAAAATTAATTACATTAAGCTTATATAGGCTATCTAGGCACCAACCAACAGCTAGGGCAGCCATTTTAGTGCACTTTTATTTTCTTGATCGTCTTAAAAAGAGAAGAATGCATTTTGACAAAGTCCTTTTAGGTCCCAGGAAAAAATAAAATGCCTTCCCGAACCACGAAGAGCATAAATTTTTGTGAGGACGCCAGAAAATTAACAATGTAAGCGCAGCACAGTTTCATCCCACGGTCGACGTCGGGCTCAAAGGTCTATTAAGACCGGTCGCAAAATAGAAACTACGCTTAAACTACACGAAAGTGAATATATCGACTTTTTACGAAGTTGAACTTGATAGTCAACAACAATTTACAAACATATATTTCTAGACACTTGATATTTACGAATATTGGGTTTAATGATTAAGCAAAACTAGAGCACATAACACTCACCAATGTCGTCGGACAGGCGAACCATGAGTCTCAAAACATGATAAACTTCTTCCTTAGTTTTACTAGCTCTCAAAGCGTCCTGACAACACCTTGCCGCCATTTGTCTACAAAATCAATTGCAGGTCATGCTCGTGATTAAAGCTGAACATATCAACAAGAAATGCAAGGAACGCTGAGGACAGGAAGAAAGGACAGTTTGATCACACGTGCATTCGTAGGAGAAATGATACGACGAAGCATCTTACCTATTTACAATGATGTCGCTCAGCATAAAACGCTCCATTCTGATTATTGGACTAAGAGGTTCCTCTGCAGAGGCATAACTTTGCAGAGATGACTCTTCTTGATCCATCTCGTACCCTTCTGTAAAATGCAAATCAAGATATTGGGTAATACGGTAACGTTTACTGCTTTCCGCTTTTTAAACTCTCCCAGCGGCTAATCGTGGGGCGCTACTGCAATGAAACATACCGTCATCTTGGTCCTCCTCTTCTGGACCGTCAGTGCTTTCTATATGGAATCGTATGTCTGAAAAGAAACTAAGAATAAGTAATGAAACGCGACGAATACCTCATCGGAATTCATCACCTACCCGCCATCTTGGAAGCGGCCACCAAACATGGCTCCAACCACGTGACCAACGAACCTGAACCAGCCCACTCGCCCGGTAACATTCTCTCGAGGGTCTCAATGGGGTGGTGGCCTTTACGGCTATCGGCTAAAATTTTGGCTCTTTTACGGCTATCGGTTAATTTTTTTCAGTTACGGTTAACGAAAAAGTTAAAAATTAACTTCTTTTGTTTCAAAAAATTAAATATTAATTAACCTGTATTTTTTTGAATAAAGGTTTTCGGATCATCTCGGGATGAAATAAGCTATTCTTTTGCAAAATTTTAACATTTGATAGATCATACTTTTTATAAAGTATTCCACTTCTAATATTATTTTACACTTAGAAAAGTCAATAGTCAATTTAAAAATAATCTTTGTGAACGCCCAACTCAAGGCCGGGGCGCGACGTTCATTATAACAGAAATCGCCGTTTTCACACTAGAAAAGGATTATTCGTGTGAGACGGGTCATCCGTTTGATGATTCGCGTCAGGTAGGTAATACGTCTTAATTTGAAAATGGAATAGTTTTAATTTTGAATGAACAATCCGCCTGACTTTTGAAGACGGGATTATCCGTTCCAGATAGCCTGTACAGCCGCCCCTTCTACTCAGAAAATTTCGGAGAAGGGGTGTCTGTGGGGAGGGCGCAACTGTACACAGGCTAGTCTCAGACGGATGATCCATTTCTA